TGTGGAAAGTAAAGGCCAAAGTGGTCCCAGTGGTGGTAGGAGCACTTGGGGCTGTGACTCCTAAGCTGGGAGAGTAGCTCCAATGGACCTCGGGAACAACTTCAGAGCTCTCTGTCAGAAGAGTGCAGTGCTAGGAACAGCTAAGATGTTGCGCAGAACCCTCAAACTCCCAGGCCTCTGGTAGAGGACCTGAGATTGAGGAAGACACATCCACCCATAGGGGTGAGAGGGGAGGGAGGGAGGGAGGGAGAGAGAGAGAGAGAGAGAAATAAATAAATAAATAAATAAATAAAGCATGCTGGCTGGGGAATTCTGGGAGTTGAAGTCCACACATCTTAAAGTTGCCAAAGTTGAGAAAAACACACACACACATACACACACACACACTAATTGTCCTTGACATTGTGCCTTCTGACTTTGATGTCACAAACAAACTCAAGCAAAATAGAGGATAATCATATCACTCTAATATACTGTATTCCTTGGCAAATTTGTAACCAAACTGATGAAAATAACTCAATTGTATCCTATCTGTGAACAATCCAGGTCATCTAGCTAGGACAGAAGCAAAGCTGAACGAAGGATTCCTTTTCTGGCCCAGTAAAGAAACTCTCATCCAAATTACAATCTCCTCCTCCCTTTCCTATTCTCAGTGTAAGTCTATCAGTCTACAAGACTGAGTGTACATTAGGTTCATTTTAGGGAGTGACTCAAGTACCACTATCCAGTTCAGGGAGTCTTAACAAGAACGACAACTGATGAGAACATTAGCTTAAATCTAGAAGAAGTTTCTTATTTCAGGACAGTAAAATACCGAGGTGGGGGTAGGTAGGGAGGTGGTCTACCCTGGGTGCAGGCAATAAGGAGGTTGCTGCTGAAGATACAAGGAGGCAAGTTGTTGTTGCCCCTGTGCCAATCAGTTGTATGGCTGTCAGGGGGGGGGGGGGGAAGTGTGCCTTCAAGTTAGTTTTGATCCTTGGTGACTCCCCCTGCAGTTTTCTTGGCAGCATTTTTCCAAAGTGGCTTGCCAGTTTCTTCTTCCTAAGCCCAAGAAGAAGTGACTAGGCTAAGATCACCCAGCTGGTTTTGTGGCTAAGGCAGGACTAGAACTTAGCCTCCTGGTCTTTAATCTGATGCCTTAACCACTACCCCAAACTAACTCTCAGCAATTAATGTTGATTGATTGATTATACCTTTCCTAGCATTAGAATCTTCTCCAGAGAGCTAGGTCTTCACATAATGTGTCCGAAGTAGGGTGGGTGGGTATTAAAATATGCTAGGTATGTCACTGATTCAGGAGTTTGTAAAAGGCAGGTGGGCCAGGGATCTAATGGGTATCAAAGTGCACACTCATGTATTTTATCCATTTTGGGGGGACAGGGATGGAGGAGGAGGGGGAGCGAGCCAGCTTGTGTAGCTTTGTTTATCTCTGCTACATGTTATATTTTTTATCATATTTATATAGCCATTTCACATAAAGTGACTAATATTGCTGTAAAAAATCTGGGCTGTATCTAAAACTCTTATAACTTGCTGGAGAAATTAATAAAATGGAATTGAAATTCCAGTGACTACTTTGTCTGAATTCTAATGCTTACTCTGCATCTTAAGAACTGGCCAAATTCTGGATCACTGAGGATGTGGTTTAAAGCCATTGGGGATCTTTTGGGCTTGTCAGGTATTTTGGGGTTTAATCAAGTACTTCAATATCTCAATTCATGCCAAGTCATTTTAGGACTATATATGTGTCCTGGATTTTCTTTCCTAGATCTTTCTCTTTCTACAGAGAATCTTTGTGCGATATTTATTGATTATGGTCATTTCTCACTCTGTTCTTTTAGAATATATCAGAGTTTGTGCCTCTTTGGTTAACATGGTCATGCTATAAATAAATGCAATCTGCTTCTTACTAAAGAAACTCCTGACTTGGAGTTTGATGTCATGTAAACCAAGTCAGGAGGGTAAAAATCTACCAACTGAACTTTTTCCCCCAATATCAGGGATTTACTACAGTGTATCATAAGCATGAGTTTCATATGCTGAGAATCTAGCATTACTTGCCAACTATAATTTATGAGTATTTGCCAAAGGCCATATGTGGATTATTTTGACCTATGTCAATCTGAGAAAACAAAAGTTTTGAAATTTCTCAAACAAAATTAAGTAATTACATCCTAAAAGAAGCATGTAAAATAATAGGAAAGTTATGGACTAGCCTGACTGGAGGCCAAGAAGTGCAAAACAATGATGGTACTAGAATAAACATTAATTTTGCCCTTTTGTTTAGATTCTTCAATATTTTGGGCTCAAAAACTATTGCATTTAATTATGGAATTAAACTCTACTTTACTGTAGCAATATTTTTCCCAAAATTGATGACCTGAACTTAATTGTTTAAAGTCAGTTTTGCTCACAGGAAACTCGTCTTCAAGCCAATAGGCTTGGCAAGCACATTTTTGTTTTCTTTCTGCACTTTCCTAAGTGAAGATGTTCCAATATTTAAGAAAATCTATTCATCATAGTGGCATAAAGTGGCAGTCTTTCATTAGTCATCAATGCTACACTGGTCATTGGTTCCTGTTGGAGCCATGGGACCTAGGATCCAAACTAAATATAATATATTATGCTTTCTTCCTTGAAATAAGTATTTTTTTCTTTTTCTAAATTCCCAACAGATCTAAGCAGTGTCTATGAGGAAAAGTTTAATTGTTTTGCTCCTGCTGAAATCGTAATCTGGGCAAGCACCAGTAGATAGAGGAGCCACAGCCCATATTGGAATTTCAGTGGGAGCAAATATTTGAAGCTCTCATGCCATCATCCTAACCCCGTTTGCTCATTTCTTTTCTCCACAACTCCAAACTGTCAATTTGGAAAAGAAAAACTATTGTAATCAAGTAGAAGTTATATTAATGCTCCATGTAGTCTGGCTCTAAATTTCTCCAGGGTCCTGTTATATAATAGATAGCTGGTATTAATTTTGTTTTTCTTAAACTAGATTTTCCTGGAAATTGAGTTTCCATGTTTTCTTGAAATCCATTCAATTCAGCCACACATCCCTTATTGTGAACATATCATTGAGGCTGGCAATTAAATGTGTTGAGTGATAATTGTGCTACTCCAAACTTAGTGTCTCCCAATTTATGGAGTCTGAATCTGGATGAATAGTGAAAAAGCTGAGATAGAGGTTTCCTTTAAAAGCTCTTGAAGAAGGTTTTAGCGTGAAAGCATTGGGCTTCATTTAAAATATTTTCATGGAATACTTGAACTCCTTTCTCTCTTTTTGGTTTGCTTGGTGTTACCCGGTTTTTGTTTACATTTTTTAAAAACAACTGCAACCATAGCACCCGGCTGAATAGAGTAACTTTGGCTGGAACACTTAATGTTGTATTTTTTAATGCAACTTAATGTTGCAGTTTTTATTCATGTAAGCATTCAGAATTTGCACCTCTGATTTGATTTGGATAATAAAGTCCAGTATATGAACTTGGTGCTATTATTATTGTTAGTAATAGTGGTATAAGTAGATTAAGTTTCAGTCCAGCTGCTGAATTTCTCTAGCACAGAAAATCTCTTTGTAGCTTTGTGTATATTTTTGGGTTGATGCAAAGCAAGGTCATAATATTCCGTATTGTATTCCTAGAATGGCTTGCACAGTTTCTGCTGTTGGTGTCCTCCTTTTGTTTGGTCTTCTGCTGCCCTCTGGAGAGGGCAGCAGGAGGAACCGTGGATCACAAGGAACCATCCCTTCTCCTGACAAAGACCAGCCCAATGACTCCGAACAGACCCAGCAGCTACCACCAGGCTCCAGACCCCGCGGTAAGGAGAAAGGCAAACCTCCCTCTACTGAAGAGGTGCTGGAATCAAGCCAAGAGGCGTTGCATGTCACGGAACGAAAGTACCTGAAAAGGGATTGGTGCAAAACACAGCCACTCAAGCAAACTATCCATGAGGAAGGCTGCAAAAGCCAAACCATCATTAACAGATTCTGTTATGGCCAGTGCAACTCATTCTACATCCCGAGGCATTTCCACAGAGAGGAAGGTTCCTTCCAGTCATGCTCATTCTGCAAACCAAAGAAATTCACCACCATGTTGGTTACACTGACCTGCCCAGATCTGCAACCTCCAACCAAGAAAAAGAGGATCACACGAGTTAAAGAATGCCGCTGTATATCTATAGACTTGGACTAGGAAGTGTCATGGAGGATATTCTGCCCACCAGTGCATTTCCTCCTTCAATCCAGGGGTCTAAACCTCTTTAGGTATGTCCAAATGGGACATGAATCAGAGAGAATCACAGCAAACAGTATGTGTTATTCTTGTGTAAGTGTGAACTTCAGCTTTGAAAATAAGTCATTTGGAGTGTGTCTTAGGCTCAGTAATTCACTAATTCTCCCATGTGCTGGAATTCTGCACTTGCAGTTCTCCTCTTTTGCCAGAATCTGTGCCATTGACTGTCTCATGATAATCAGTAACAGTATTTGTTGTTAGATTAGAGCCATTGATTCCTTTCAGATTTAGTTATGTTCTGAGGAAAATGTGGAAAGGAATGCATTAATTGCAGAGAATACAGTGGTACCTCGGGATACGAACTTAATGCGTTCTATGACTCTGGGC